GATGGGTTTCATATTGTTTTGTCCAAACTTCTGTGACCGGCCACAAGAAAGGAAGGCGGGAGGCAGAAAGGCTGGGCAAGCAGTTTATTGCTCCCTGACAGCGGCTGAGACGGAGCACCTAGAGCTGCAGCTACTGCCAACTCAATAAGGGGGAAGGGTCTCCTATATAGGTCCTAAACTCAGATTTCAAAGGGGTGACTCATCACTGTGTCCTTGATGTGAGGCCCAGTTCGTTATCACCTTCAGCTAGTCCCATCCTGGATGCAAGGCCCAGTTAATTGGATGCAAGGCCTAATTTACTACTGCCCTTATCAGTCCCTCAGTAAATCTCTGCATTTGGTCACTCCCGACACATAAGGGATCAGTGCTTATTTGATGATATTAGGATATACCATATAGGTATATCCTATATAGGATTTAGGATATAGGATTTCCAAAGTCATGAATTAGGGACCTCCTCATGTCAGGAGTCAGACCTTACCTTCAAGGGTAATATCACCTCAGAGGTGACCTCCATTTTGCTAGTGTGGACAGGGAGAGAGGGGCACCATAGAACCCTCAAACCTGCCTGCTCTAAGTGGGTTCTGCCATCCGCCACATCAAGACAAAACATATAAAACTTTAATGAAAAGGGACTTTAATACAGTGAGTATACAATACGGAACACAAAGAAAATAATTTCTAAATCAAACACCTGAAGTTGCCCTCTTGGGCAAAAGTCCACCCAAAAGGAATTGGTCCACAGCAAGGCCTGAGAGCCCGCCACAAGACTAAAGCACCTTCTGGCCGGGACCCATGGAAAAGGGTCAGAAATGGCCAGACAAGTCTGGGAGGAAAAGAGAAAAATCAAAATTAATATAAACACTGCCATAGTCACCTCCCTAAAGTTATGTCACCCACATCTGCCTTAACTGTTACAGGGTCAGGAAACAAGTACGGTTTCTTCATCACATGCTTGCTGCTCCATGTGGCTTCCTCAGGTCTCCTTCTTGCTCTCCATCCAGCTTCCATTTTTTTCTTCTTCTCCTCTGAATCCTTCTCTCCTTTTCTCTGCTCAGCCCCACCCTCCTTCTGGGTGGGGCAGGGAACCTGGAACTTCCCCTTTTCCTAGGGACCACCCTGTTTCACTAGCAGTTGCAAAAATGCTATGCACATAGGAATATACTACAAGTTTAAATACTGCTTCCTGCAAGTGATCCTTTCTTTTTTTTAAATGAAAGCTGACAATTCCTGCTTTTGAGAATAGGAGGTCAGATTTTCATTATGGAATTTGAGTAGGGAGCTAAAAAGAACTTCAAAAATATCTGTGCTTTCGAGTTCTAGATTAAGATAACTCTAAATCCAATCTCTTTACAAAGTCTGTGTTAGGTCACTGATAAAATTAAAAATCTGGTCATTTTTGTCCTGCAAAGAGCAGTTTGAACTAGAAAGATAAATCTATCTCAAAAGGCAAAGGGTTTTGCCCAGTCAAAAGAGATGCTCAAATACTGGTCTCCAAAGTCTTAATAGTGATCTGAATATCCCAATTCTGTTAGGTATTAACCCTTAATTTGTTAATTTGTTGCATTTTGGGGGACCTAGGGGTTCTTGGGGAGAGAATGGGGTGATGACACTTTGAAGGTGATAATTACTTCAGTAACATGGTTATTCATCATTTGGAATGGAAGTGCTCCAACATTTTAACAAAAGGCAGAATTCTCATACTGGTATAAGAATTAATCTCAGATCTTTCTTTGTGGAATGAGCTTTATCTCTCTAAACAGTCCTTGCAAAACTCCAGACTCTTTTATCTTACACTAAAATAAAGCTATTGAAAACAATGTATGTAATTCATCAGTAATCTTCCTTTATCGCAGCAAATTATCATAAGTGAATGGGAATTCCAGTGATCAGTGTTTCAAGGAACAAGGAGCTTTCAGTTTTGCTTCTTTTCTTCCCTAGGAGTAATGTAGTAAACCTAAAAGCATGATATAGCAGCAGAGAATCATATGTCCCCACCTCCACCCCTCCATATCCAGGAGACTCTCCTAGAGATAATTCATTAAATCACCAGAAATTTCTTGAATACCTACAAATGAAAGCTTAGAATGCAGGCGAAGGGGGCATGATTTAAAATGTCAGCCTTGTATGATTTAATAATTGGAATGGAGGTATTGAGCACCAATAACATCAGGAGCCATTTGTATTGGAGCCAGTAGACTCAGGAAGCAGACAGCATGACTGACCTTGCTTCCTTTTGGATGTACATACCAAAGTGATTTGGGCCAACTGTTTGTGAAGGTTGAGCTCCCTGTGAGTTTGATGGTTTAGTTGAAGTAGATATTGTGGATGCATTGGTATGTAGCATTTGAAATAGCTGTGTGTATACATATTTCTTACAAATTCAAGGAGATCTTTTTGAGGATTTTAATCTTTATTAGCAGAACTGCTGCTCCCTTACATGATGCCTTGTGTAAACAACAAGATGCCTTATCACCAGAGTGCTCCTGCTAGCTTAATCCCTTGGTGTGGCTAAATTCTCCACCTATAGTATATAGCAGGTCTTACTCATTGGTTTCCAAGTTTCTTTATCTTCCCAGAGCTGTTAAGATTGCAGAGTCTCCCAGACAGAGAAAACCTGCTCCACTGGGTGTTGTGGTCCTGAAAGTTCATGGGATACTACTGGGGTAGTTCATTTGTCTATTCTTGGCACCAGGGGAGTTTGGAGACATCTGAGAGTTCTAGAGAGATTATTGTGTTGGGGGAGTGTTCAGATTTGCTAGATTCTCATCCCATTCTGCTGCACATCTCTGTGTGAACTTAGGTCACATCCTCTTCTGGACATATTTTCTTTGTGGCAAAATGATAGTTAGGGGATTCGGACACAACAATTAATATCCCCTGGTGTTCCTTCCAAACAGCAGTAGATGGCCTGAAGCTATTTTCCATATTTGTAAATCCTAATGAAAATCAGACAGTGGTCCAGATGTTCATATGTATTATTACTTAATACAATGTGGTTTGTTAGACAGTATTTTGCAAGTTCCTTTGAGACGAATTCTCAAAAGAACATTTAAAGGGAGCAAATTAGTGTCCGACAGACAAGATGATCTCTGAGTTCTTTTTTATCTGCCTCTGACCTAAGAACAGGGATAAAGTTTACCTTCAAAGGCAAATGAAAGGTAAAATTTTTCAAAAACATAATGTATTTTCCTACTATGTGAAGGTGGATTTTACTATGGAATGATATTTAAATATCGAAATCAGGTCTGGAACTGGCGGGATCAACATCACCTGGTGAGAATGGCAAATCTTGGACCCCTGAATGAGAAACTCAAAACGTGGGGATGTTTTTTCCCAAGCACTCTATCCACAAAAGTTTGCGAAGCGTGGAAACATTTTAACCTTTCAAAGCATCTTTACAAATGACACCTCACTTGATTCTCATCACTGCCTGATATGACTTGAGCAGCTACTTGCATTTGCTATGTGACTGGCAGGCACTCTAGTAAGTAGAGGAACCTCAGGCCATAGAGTAAATTTGGCATACTTATTATTGAGCTCATGGCATCTTTAGTTTATGGGCTGCCAATGGCTATTGTCTTTCACTGAATTTAACCCTAGTGTTAATATTTTGGAGGAAACTCTATCACCCTCATTCTTTCACTTTCTCTAGGACAATAATTTTCAACTATTTCCCCCCTTTTTGGGGTATCTTGCTGTCTAATTGGGATGTCTATCAAGAATTTTGTAAAATTTCAAAATAAGACATAAGTGATAAATACACCTTTAACAAAATTTTAAAAGATAAAATTTTAAAAGATAAAAAGAAAGAAAATTAAAATTGCCCACAGTTCTCCTGTTTATCATTAGCAATTAGTGTGCTTATTTTCATATCCAAATAATACATTTATACAAATGTGGAGTCACATTGTATATGCTTTTGTAGATTGTTTTGTTTCTTTAGTACATACTGAGTCTGTGTTCATAATTATTAACTTATAATTTTATAGTCAGAAACAGCAGCTATAATCCCACATATACAAATAATATTTAGAAATACAGATAGGCAAATAGAGATGTATATTGTATATCAGACACATATATGTGTGTGTTTATGCGTGTATGTATGTGTGCCTATCAAATTATTTAAGAAATAAACCTGGAAAGTCTAAAATCTGGGTGAGCAGTCAGATCTAGAATGCAGGGATGGGCTGAAATTAACAATATAAATCTGAAAGTGATCCGCTAACAGAATTGCCTCTTCCTCAGCAAAGGTCAGTCTTCAGGGCACGGAATCAGGGCCATCAACATTATAGAGAATACCCTGCCTTACTCAAAGTCTGCTGACTTTTTTAAAAGGTTTTATTTATTTTTGAAAAAAGAGCTGGGGTGTAAACCTGAGGTGTGAGGTGGATAGAGGATTCACCAGAGATAGACTGGGGAGCAGAACAGGTAAACTGGCTGAAATACAACTGCTGAGAGGAAAAGCAGGTAAGACAGAAGTCTGCTGTGCCATGTGGGTCAGCTCCTTGGCTAGGGATTGTGTTGCAGTGGCTTCAGATTGTGTCATCGTGCTGAGACTTAACCCCTTGTACCACCAGGGAGGTCCCCAAAGTAAGCTGACTTAAATTTTTATTTCCTCTGAAAAAATACCTTCACAATAGTATCTAGTCATGTTTGAGCAAATAAGCCTAGTCAACTTGATATATAAAATTAATCATCACCAATATATTAATTTGAATGAGTCTATATATTTCATATGAACTACACCCAAGATTGGAAATTCAGATTGTTCCATTTTCCCCATCCTTATATATAGGGCATCTTTGCCTCTTTGACTAATTTTTGTCTTCAAGATCATTTAATCGTGTGGAAAAGAATGCCCATTTCTAACTTTTTAAACTATCAATTTCCTCTTGGCAAATTGCCTTTTGCACTTTAAACCATAACCTGAAGACTTCACAGCGGGGAAGATGCTAGGTTTTTCTGGCACCTTGATTTTCTCCTTTCTTTCTCAGCCTGCAGGTCACTAGGAACTGGCATGATGTTGAGTTCCTGGGCCACCTCCTCCATTGAAGAAGTGGCAGCTGCTGGTCCCGAGGCACTTCGCTGGCTGCAACTGTATATCTACAAGGACCGAGAGGTCACCAAGCAGCTGGTGCGGCGGGCAGAGCGGATGGGCTACAAGGCTATATTTGTGACTGTGGACACCCCTTTCTTGGGCAACCGATTTGATGATGTGCGTAACCGGTTCAAGCTGCCACCCCAACTCAGGTAATAAAGGTTTCTGCTCACCTGCCCTCCTGAGTTGGTTTTCTAATACTCCTTGCTCTTGTCATTAGGCTGTTTGGTTTTCTACAGTTTCCAAGTTGGTATCCTGGGGAAGTTATTCAATACATCATCATAAATTCCTGGTTTCAAAATATGGTTAAAAAGGATCTTGTCTGGTAACAATAGGTTCAGGAGATAATATCATTGCTAAATACACAATAGGTCCCTTGCAAATCATACCCCTTTTGTGGGTATATGTACTTGAGCTATAAAACAGATAGAAATTCCCCATATGTTTGTAAAGTTCAAATAAATGTATGTACAAGATTGAATTAAGGCATTGGGAAATATGAATTGCCAAATAGCTGAAAGATTCTTAATATAACCCAGGTAACAGTTTTATTATGATCCCAAGGCTCTAGTTATTTGGTGAAATCAGAGAACTAACTTTTCAACTTCATTTTGTAGTACTTAGAAAAACTATAGGTAGATTAAAGAAAGCTACAAGAATGGAGAAAAAAGAAGTTATATATTTGTTTCCTCTCCTTTCAACAATATTCCTCTTTCCCTTGTGGTTCATCTATGAGTCAAAACTCATGCATTTACTGTTTCACTTACTCATTCATTCATTTGCTTACTTACATTATCAAAAAACAATATATCTAATAATCTAAAAAGGAACCAAGATGACTTTGATAGGTAATTTAGCCTTGTTCATTAGCAGGGAATTGTTCTTTCTTTTTTTTTTTTTTTAATAGTTTATTTTTACATCATTTTGTGCATTTTTCCATCTCAGTTGTAATCCCCGTGGGCTTCCCATCACCAAATCACCGGTGCCATCACCGTAGGGGAACTGTTCTTTTCTAAGTAACATATCAGGATTAGAATGCAGTGGCAAGCATTAAACCGGGAATCCAGTGAAGCTTACTGAGAAAGACTTCAGCCTCCATAAACTATAAACTCTTTGCCCCTGTGTTTTTTCTTTATCCAGTTTCCATCAAAATCTGCTCTTAGGTTCCCTATAGCCATGTATGATTGACAATTGGAGGGAACTTTGGGGCTGGGGGTATCAAAGCATCCATCGATATTTGTGAAATGACGAGAGACCCATCCTCGGATCCTCTACCTCATTTCACAGATGGCTTATTCTGCATATATAGAATAGCCCCTTCTAAAAGATCTAAAATCTAAAAGATTTGAAATAAAATTAGCATTCCATATAAGGACAAGAGAATTGGAAGCCAGAAATTTCATATGTGTAATAGATAGCCACATCAATCTACAGGCAGTATTGTACTACAAGAATCACATAGTTGTCATAAAGCTTTGCTGTGTATATATCTATTTCAATGGAAACTACTGTGCAAAAAATCTTGCTGTTGAGCCATATGCAAATTAACCATGTGATATAATCTCTGATACTTCCAGACAGGTTTGGGATATTATTTCTGTCTGTGGTACCTTCAATGGCCCAATGACAAAAAGAGAAGCTTCTCTCCCAGGAAGACCTGCCAATAAACCTATTCCATGTGTCTAGACACAGGATCACCCAAGCAACCTGTCTTTCTAAGAGAACAAAACCAAAAGTCCCTGACATATTCTACTTCTTGTCAAATTCATCAGAAAGCAGATGCCATCCAATTTCCCTAATATGAAATCTGTATGCACACTGTTTATTTGGGTTATCTTATTTTATAGATGCTCTGAAGTAGTTTTCCACTTTCCCCACTTCGGACAGAAAACGTACTCATTATACTTCTTTCACTAGTACTTGAACAATACTTTGCTATTATCTTTGTGCATGAAATCTTTTGTGCAAAATATTATTTTTCCTCATCTACTTGCTAATAGTGGCTACTGCCACTATTACTAACAATAGTGATAAAGAATACCAAAGGCTGTATTTTGCAGCTTAAGAGGTACTTTTTTACCTCAAGTAACAAAATATCGTTCACAGTGTTATCTACTTAGGTGGGAGCTATGACACAGTGGTTATTTCTCATTGGTAGTCCTGTTCCTTTGGTGCCCAGCTCACTCAGGAATGGGAAGGTTGATTTGCTTTTTCCCGTTGCCTTTGCTCCCGGGCTTCTACCCAGATGACGTAAAGGATCATGAGACAAAGACCTTTTCAGCTGTCGATGTGCATAGGAGTGACCATGGCTCCCAACTTGTCACATCTCCTGCCTGAAGATGATCAAATAATGAGCAACACATCCAGGTTATGGGGAACACAGGAAACACCTCACAGCCTAGTGTACCCGCCCCCGCCCCCCAGAGTGCACATTGACCTTGTTTGTCCCAGTGGACTTTGCAGGGGGGAGGGGAGGGGAGCGTCTTCTGTTCACCCTCTCCACCCCCCCACCCCCCCCAGTGGCCTGTGTTCAGTAGTGGAAGGCAGAGTGCACTAATGGGAGGTCCAGGCTTCCGCTTGAGCCCACATACAACCCGAAAGCTCATCTGTTACAGCCTGATATGAAATCAGGTTTCTTTCCGCAACTGACCTGACTCATAGAAGGTGAAGCCTGGCTTTTCAGAAGTGAGGTTTGGCAGGCGAGGGAGGCAGGAAATCCAGAGGAGAATGAGTGTAAAGCAGCGGCTCCTTCCAGCCTGAGCTACTTCCTCTGCCTGAGTTGGGGGTGGGGGAGGGTCCCGATTCTGGCATCTGGAACAGCAAGAGTTCAGGAGTTTGGTAGCCTCTGCTTGATTATATGCAACACACACATAGGAATGACATAGAGGTTCCGAAACTAAGGGAAATGAGAATTCTAATCTATTCTTGGAAGAAGCAAAGAATGAAGCCAGTTCTTAAACTGATTCTTGAGGCTTTGAGGCTGGGAACTTTTTTACCCTCCAAAGCCCATGGAGATGGTTAATTAACGCAGCAGAAAGATTTGACTTTTCAATATAGTGCCAGGGCAATTGAAAGGGAACAAAATATATTTCCTATAATGGGCTGAGCTCAATCGACCCATTAAGTAATATGTTCAATGCTTTGTTATTAAGCCCAAAATAATTTACTAATTGCTCAACTAGGTAAATCACACAATAATGGACCAGACTGATATTGGCTTCCTAGGTCTCTTATGATAAAAATGGCTGGTGAGGGCTTAAATGGCTTTATGCTAGCATTAGCATAACTTCTCTAACACTCTAGTACGCTCATCTTCTTTCTCTCTGTCCCAACTATACCATCTTCCTTGCTGTTCTTTCAGCATCCCAGCCGCACCTGTAGCCCGGAGTCTCAAACACTGACTGTTTCCTCTGCTTTAATGTTTCGATGCAGAACTAACTTCCTCACTTACTTTATTTTTTGGAATTTAACATAAAATACAGTTGAGAACAGAATAGAGACATGTATGTGTAGGAATCATGGTGGGGTGTGAGAGAAAGGTTTGTGAAGTAGGATTTGGTACATGGCCCAGTAGCCTCTGAATTCTTTGCTTGGGAAAACATTTATAATACAACTGTGTTAGAATAATCAATCACCTCCCTGGAAACTGTGTCTACCTTACTTTACATGGCAAAGTAGACCTTGCAGGTATGATTAAGTTAAGAATCTTGAGATACATGGTTATTCTAGATTATCTCAGTAGGTTTAATGTAATTTAAAAGTCTTTAGATAAGAAGGAGACTAAGAGAAGGAGATATGATAATAGATGTGAAGTTGGAGTCAGGGAATATAGCTGGTCTTTGTAAGCTGCAAAAGTCAAAGAAAGGACTTCTCCCCTAAAACCTCCAGAAGGAGGTGCCCTATTGGCACCCTAAAGTTAGGCCTGTTTGGACTTCTGACCTCCAGTACTGTAATATAATAAGTCTGTGTCAATTGCTTAAGCCTCTGTGTTTGTGATCATTTGTTATAGCAGCAACAGGAAACAAATATAATAACTCCGCTCTGCTAATTGAAGCTAATTTTGCTGATCCTACTTAAAATTTCTAGTTGAGTCTCTGCCACCTCACATCATCAATGTGCTGCTCTTTTTCCTCCCTGTATTTCACACAGCACTTATATTCTGACATGCTCCATAAATTATTTGTTATTTTCTCATTTTTTATCTCTTTTGCTTGAATAGCATTCCGTGTTGCCAGGGACTTTTTTTTTTTTTGGATTGTTTTATATACTAATATATCCCAAACATTGGAAACACTGGTATTTAGTAGGTATGTGAATTAATCAATAAAAATTATCAAGTAAGTCTTCTCCAATAAAACAGGACTGGTAAGAATTTGAGTGTGGATTTCAGCTCAAACTAAAATCCATTCCCTGACTTTTCACCTATTGCCCAGCCATATGGAGGAAGAAACTAGATGGATTATTTTTTCAAGCTAAGTAGTTTCCTAACCATCAATTTAAAGGCTGGTGGCTCATGCACCAATTCTATATATATTATGAATCTCTCTCTCAATTTCTGTCTCTTTCTCCTATTAGGTTGAATGTATGGGTCATACTGTTGGATATGTGTGTGTGTGTGTGTGTGTGTAATATATATATATATATATATATATATATTTCCATGATATGACGTCTACTAAAATTATAAGTAATACATAGTTATCAACAATATTCATTATTATTAGTGTTATTCTTGGTTATTTAATAATGTTTAACTTTCTTTAGTTATTATTACTATTTTTATGATGCCAGCTTACCAAAAGTTAAAATAATTTCTATATTATATTAAGAAGTATATTTGTAGGACATTCAAGGCACAATGAGTTCCTTACAAACAAGAAATTCTATCCCTTCCCTTTGGGTCATTAAGAAGATTGGGACTCAGAGAAACAAGTTCTAAGTAATTATGTTATTATTTTGATGTTGCCCTTTTCCTTCCTTATGAAATGGAATACTTTGGTTATCAGAAGCCGCTTTAAGTATTTTTTGTATATATGTCATAATTCGAATAAAAATAGCTTTCATGGAGGTTTCCTTCAGAGTCATTGGTAAAACACTCCATCGTGGGTCTCTGTCAAGATATCTGAAAACTTTTTCTTGGCTTCTGGCTTTGAACAACGTTTAGAGTAACAACAAGGCTTCATTGTGCACTGAAATTTCTGTGAGGCAACATTCATTCAAGTGTTGATCTGCATTTCACCATCCAAGAATAACAACAGTTATTTATATAATTTTATCCATGTTTCTGTTTTTTCCTATCCATTTCACCCTTTCACCCCACCCTTGCTGAAACACTGTAGCTTGTTTGGGATGGGGGTGGGGTGCTATACAGTATATATACACATGTAAATGTTTTTCTCTCTTTTAATTCCTTTGGTTTTGGTTTTGCAGAGACAGACTTAGCCTTTTTTCTTAGGAACAATATTATTTAAAAGTTTTGAATTTAATATCACTTAATATTACTTCTACGTAATGGACTAGCTCTCTATAATGAGGAGATGCCTAGTGACAAGAAAGTCAGCTTAATTCAATTTCAAATCACAGTAGAAGACCAAGGATGTTGATAAAATGTATCACCACAAGTAGTTCTATAAAAGGAGGTGCCAGAGTGGTGCAGTTAACATCCCTACCAAAGCTTACCAAGTATGTCAGTAGTTACGTTTCTCATGGACTCTTTAATGGCTACCCAAGTCAATGAGACTATAGGACTAGCTGTTTAATGCTCGTTGAGAAAATTTTGTCGGTGACTTGAAGAGTTATATGGGATGAGATTGTCTTTATAATAATATATGCCACCCAATGCTACACAACCAGCTACTTTATCTAAAGTACACTAAAATGTAAAAAGCATTAAACCTAGTTTTGTGTTAAATGAAACTTATGATTCTTTAAAAAAAAATATGCCTATGAACATCTAGGTTTATATAAAAAATTGTTATTGTCATAGCTCCAAAATCTCTGTGTTCACAGTCAGAGCTAATGGAAAGGAAAAAACAACCATGACAAAGCCAGAGATCATTATGCAGCTATACTTTTTCCCAGAGAGGAGATTGACTATCAGGGTAATTTATAATGAACAGAAGAGCAAGGTAAATCCAGGGCAGTGTCATCATTCAAAGACAGATTTTCAAGGAAGTAAGGCTTATAACTAGAATAAGGATCGTAGGCAGCTAAGTCACATGGATAATGCCACTATGTGTTCAGTTGGCCATCATCTAGCCAGTGGCCAGGAGTACAGGTGGAAAAGAGCTGAAAAATTCTAATCTGGGTATCAGGACATTAGACCAAGAGATAAGATTTTAGATATAGAGTAAACCCATAGAAGAGTCTTATAGGTGAGTTAAAGAAATATTGGCCTAAGCTAGGTAGCACAATTAGAAATAGGGAATGACAGTAACTCAGAGGCATTGTGTTCTTGGGCCTTAGAGCAGAATGAATGCAAGTAGTTCCTTTGGAAGATGAAGGGAGTATTGGTATTAGGGTGGGAAAATGGTGAGGCAGCACACAATAAACAGCTTATCAAGACAGGCAACTAAGGCTTAATCCTGATGGGAAATTCTACAAGATAACTAAAATATATCTCAATTAGCCCAGAGTTAGTCTGCCTTGCAGAAAGGAAACAGGTATTTATGTACTGATACTTCAAGACTGATATTTGTGTGGTGATTGAGGCTCTAGGAGTAAGAGAAAGTCACACATACTTGATTTTTCAGAGAATAGAACTTACATGAAATAGATTAATAGATAATAGACACATCGATGCATTTATACAGCTATTTGGATGTGAGATTGCCTCCTGCAAAAATGGAGGCTGAGAAGCCCAACAACCAGTTGTCTAAAGGCTGAAAACCAGGAAAGCCAGTGATATAGTTTCAGTCTATTCCAAAATGCTAGGGAACCAGGGGAGCCTATAGTATTAACCCAAGTCTGAGTCTAAAGGCCTGAGAACCAAGGGACTAATATTGCTGGTTAAAATATTAAGGCTTCGTCATTAGCTGCTCCACTGTTCAAGATCAGGAGGTGATGGACTTCCCAAGAGAACAAACTTATCCTTCACCATCTTTTTGTTCTGTTTAAGTTCTTAACAGAATGGACATGTCTAGCCACATTGTTCAGGGTGATTATTGTCACTCAGTTTACCAAGTTAAATGCTAATTTCAACCAAAAGCATCCCCATCCATCAACACACCAAGAAATGTTTTGCCAGGTATCTAGTCATCCTTTAGCCCAGTGAAGTTGATACATAAAATTAACCTTCACATGTCGGCAATAGAATGAAGGTCTTGATAAGTGGAAAACTCATCTTTATCAGGACAGTCTGGAAGATTGGGAATTTTGAGTCAGCAGACAAGGAGCCTCAGGAGAACAACTAAATAGAGGAAGGAAAAGGAAGAGTTGACATCTCCTCTGCTGTGTAATACTTCGCATTTCCTCCCTTTGTCCTTCATCTCCACTATCATAACAGCTGAGCAGGGAAAAAGTCCACAGTGGCAACAGACAGAATGTATTAACACATGTTACTATAGTTCCAGTTCTAGAATCTTCCATGAGGATGCTGGAAAGTTTCCTGAAGAGAATTGCCAGAATCTTTCTGAGATCTGGGGACCAAGAATGTAATTAGGAGCCAAGAGGCCCAATTTGGAGCCCAAATTCTGCCTTAGCTAATTTTATTCTCAGGGTCATCTTGTCCTGCAGTTCTGGTTTGATTTTTCCTATGTAAAAGAGGAATCATAGAGTATTTTCTAAAGGTTTGTGTGTGTGTGTGTGTGTGTGTGTGTGAGATAACATTAGCATACTAAAAGCCCTTTGTAAATTTCTCTACACCAGGCAAATGTTCATCTTCATGTTGAATATGCATTGCTGGCTGAAAATAGCATGATTTATTGTCTGACTTCATAAATGGTTTTAAAAGGTACAGATATTTGAATTTGGCCATACACTCTTCCTTGAAATGGACTTATTTATATAAACACAGCCTAAGATGTAAAATAAACACTAAGTAATCAATAAGCCCTCTAGATTGTGACATTCAGCTGGAATCCTCCATCAAAACATGGAAAATATGCATATAACCAACCAATCGATGGTTGTGGAGTGAACTACAATTTGATTTGAAGAGTAACATTTTTTTCATTGAATAACTCTTTGTAAAGATATCTCGATTTGGGGGGGAGTTTCTTATTTTTCATATTTCTTTATTTCAGAATGAAAAATTTTGAAGCCAATGATTTAGCATTTTCTCCTAAGGAAAATTTTGGAGACAACAGCGGACTTGCCACTTATGTGGCTAAAGCAATAGATCCAACTATCAGCTGGGAGGATATGAAGTGGCTGAGGGGACTGACTTCACTACCAATTGTTGCAAAAGGCATTCTGAGAGGTTTGTTTATTTTTCTACTTGCCTTCATACTGACTTTCTGGTGCCTGCTGGACATGGTCATGACATATTTAAAAGAAAATAATCAGAAAAATTAATGTGAAAAGAGAAAGAGACAGCCTCTCTCAATTCTCCCCTTTTATGACAGCAAATATTTCCTTGTTTATAGAGGATATTCTGAAGAAACATATGACATAACTAAGAGGTTCCTTTTTCAAAAAGTAGTAAGTTAATGTTTTTAAAATATTGAGATACCATTTGTTTGCTTGTTTTGGGGCTGTCACCAAATCATAGAGTTTGGCAAGCTCTAGATAGAAAGTCTTGAGCTTTGACTGAATACCCAAGAGTTAGTTGTCTTCAGACCATCAAGAAACCACATAACACCAAGAATGATATTATGACAACCAGACCTCTTTTATGAGCCTTTTAAATTTTCTTCTCATCACTCCAAGTACCAATGAGTAGAATTAATTTCTGAATGTGGTGAATCCCAAATTACCTCCCTGTGAAGAGCTTATAACCAGAACTTTAAAATCTTCAGATATCAAGCTGTGGGTATTAAGGGATTTGACTTTTCCCCCAGTATCCAGTGCATTCAAATCCCACAGGGAGGGACCAAGAAGTACAGTAATTTGGAATTAAATGTGGTCACCCATAAAAATGTTTTCCTGCCTTTGAAAACATTTTTTGGTATAGTTTTATAGATAATTGTCAAAAAATATTATTTTAACAAAGTTTAAGTGGCTTTGGGATGAGAGATACAATAATTTATCTAAGGGTAATAGGACTGTGACTCAAACAACTTTTTGTAGGTTTTATTTGAGTATGTATGAGACACATGACACCGATTAAATATTAATTAATATATTAATTAATATTAATATATTAATATATTAGGTATTTACATATCTATATAACTTTGGGGGAACATTTTCATACTTTCATATGTGCACACAGTTCTCTTACCTTCCACCAAAATTTCCATGTCCATCACCTATCTCCATCCTTATCCTAACTTTTGCTTTCTTCCCTGATTCCCTCTGGTAACTATTTTCTTTTTATTTTTTAAAAGACTTATTTATTGGGCCCTCCCTGGTGGCGCAGTGGGTTAAAGCACTGCACTGAGAAGCTAAAGCCACTTCCGTATGAGTTCGATCCCCGCCTGCCCCAGAGGAGATCCACATGGCGAGGCAAACCTCTCCTGGCCTGCCCGCTGTTCCCCTCAGCAGTGTACTTCATAGATCTGCCTGTTCTGCTCCCCACTCTGTTTCTGGTGAAGCCTCTCACTGCCCCTGAGCCTCTGGCCTGTACCCCAGTTCTGTATGTACATATGCATACAGAACTGGGGTACAGGCCAGAGGTTCAGGAGAGGTGAGAGGATTCACCAGAGACAGAGCTGGGGAACATAACAGGCAGACTGATGAGGTACACTGCTGAGGGGAGCAGCGGGTGGGTCAGGAGAAGTCTGCAGCAACATGTGGATCACCTCTGGGGCTGGGATTGAACACATGCTGAAGTGGCTTTAGCTTCTTACTGCTGCACTTTAACCCACTGCACCACCAGGGAGGGCCCACTATTTTATTTTTGATGGAGTGTAAGAATTGTTTTTGCTGTGCTTTGCCACCATGCATTTTTTGTTATTTATATTCCACATATAAGTGAAGTCATTGATGTCTTTCACTTTCTGACATATTCACTTAGCACAATTACCTCAAGATCCAGTCATTTGATTCCAAAAGGAATTAATTAATCTTCATTAATAGCTAAGTAGTATTCATTCATTTGAGACTATATTCCACAATTTCTTTATCCAATCATCTGTCATTGGACACTTTGGTTTCATGACTTTGCTATGGTGGAAAATGTTGCTGTGAAAGTAAGAGTACATAAGTCTTTTCAGATTAGAGTTTTCATATTCTTTGAGTAAATACCTAGCAGTAGTATTGTTGAATCATATATTTCCATTTTTATTATTTTTTTTAAATGTGTCTCCATGTCATTTTCCATAGTGGTTGCACCAAATTACATTCTCATCAGTAATGGATAAGTGTTCCTTTACTCCCACATCTTTGCCAAAATTTGTTATTTCCATTCTTGTCGATATAGGCCATTTTCACAGGAGTGAGGAGATATCTCATGGTGCTTTTGATCTGCATTTTCCTTATAATATGTGCTGGTGATTGTATATGTAAACCACATGAATGGATTCTTTGGCAGTAGTGTTTATTTGGGTCTTTTGCCCTTTTCTTTATATTGTTCTTTTGTTGTTGTTAAGCAGTAGATGCACTTAATGTAGATATGGTATTAACCTTTGTCAGGTGTGTGATGTGCAAATATTTTATTGTAGGTTGCCTTTTTGTACATGTGATAATTTCTTTTGAGGTCAAAAGATTTTTAGTTTGATGTGGCCCCTCATTTTTATTTTTATTATTATATCTGTTGCCATTGAGAAAGGATCCCTAAATATATCACTGTGGTCGATGTCCAATATCATGCCACTTATGTTTTCTTTTAAGTATTTTATGATCTAAGTAAATTTTACAATTGTTTGTTCTTTTCCTTGAAAAAGATCCATTGAGATTTAGATAGATATCATGTTGAGCTTATAAATTGCCTTAGGTAATATGGCCATTTAACAGTGATTATTCTTCCAGTCCACAAGCATGGTATACCTTCTCATGGCTATTTCATCTAGAACCACCACCATCATATCACCCTTCTTTTCTTCTCATCTATATGTGATGGTTCTCTGTATATTTTCATATAGCAGATATTCCAAATGTTATCCTGACTAAAATCTTCAGTCAAAACTAGAGTCTATATAATTGAAGAATGCACAAAAACAAGAGAAAGATAGATAGGGCATTTGATATTTCAAAGGAAGTAACTTATTTATACACATACAGTTTACATTGTCTAGCTTTTCTGTAACTATTTAATTTATTTAACAAACAAGACTCATCTCGATGACAAATGCATCAATAACTGCATATGCTTGATCTGGATGTAAGGTTGGGTTTGGTGGGGCCAGGTCTGAGAAATCTAGTTCTTGTTATTTCATTGATCAGCATTCAAAAGTCAGGTGTTTTTAGAGATATCCTGCAAGGCAGGGCATGGGGCAGTGGGAAGTGGGATGGGAAGAAGGGAAGGGAGGAGCAAGGGGATTGTAGTGATGGTACATGGGCAAACTGGGGAAGGAAATTCTATGGGATCTACACCTGAAGGGAGATAAACATCAAACAATGTGTGTGTATGTATACATATACACACACAGACATATATATCATGTGTTTTGACTAAAAGTCACCCATCTGCTTTCATTTTAATTATATCAGAGAAGTATATAATATGTCAAAGGAACATGAAATCATAGGAAGCTGGTGAGATCTCAATGATTCATTCCCCCCTTACCACAATGTTAAGGATTGCATTTTAAAAGAAAGATCCCAATTTTTTTTTTTTGTAAAAAATAAGCAACAATGAGTCTAAATTAAAAAAGAAAGAAATTCTTTTACATGCACACAGAAAATTTATCCTTGGAAATTTCAATACAAACTCCAAACATGTATTTGAGGATTTGATCTTTTTCAAAGCTTTCACTAACAAACAAAAAAAGGCATAATATTTCTCAAGAGTTTCCTTAAAAATTAAAAAAAAAAATTTCCTAACTTCTTATTTCCATAAAGTTATTTTATTTCTTAGAAGCTAGCTGGCTCTTTTCATATATATATATGTGTATATATGAAAATATTCATATATGTATGTGTATATCCATGAAAATATTCATATATATGTGTATATATATGTGAAAATATTCATATGTTTTCAAAATATGCTCAATGAATATTAATTCAATATTCTTAGATTGTGTGAAAAACTGCTGCCATCTAGGATTTACTTACTGTAAACTCCTATGATATAACAGGTCTGGTTAAAAAAGCTCCTAGGGCTTGAAAGTAAATTTTGAGTACTTACATTCACTTAGGTATTTTAGATTCAATATGGTAATAATGTATTAATAAGATGGAAAATAATGTTAGTCCCTATTGGCCACTTTACCAATCAATTAATGTATTAAGTGAAAATTAACAAATGTGACATGTCACCACCAATAAACTTTAAAGAATAACAAAAATATCAAAACTTCATGAACATTTTGCTAAGTCAGAAAATTTTGACCCACTCATTAACTTAATAGTGTTTTTCTCTCTGTTAAAATAAAGCTGTGGAGAAGTTTTCATAATTAGCTAAAGAAAGAAGTTCAAACCTGGCCATAAAGTATTGTTACTGTAGGCATTCACTATTCTACCTCTGAGAAAACCATTTTTTCTCACCCTGCATACCCAGCATTGCCTGGAGAAACACAGAAAACCACTTGAAATAATAGAAGGTAAACTGTTACTCTATAGCATTTACTACAAATTAAAGTTCTTTATAATTGTAATCCTGATTAGGATGAAAATTTATTGTTATAAACAGAACTCAAACAGACTTACTAAAAGCATTCAGACAATAAATCTTCCTCTCCTTCTAATCTTTTTAGTTTACAAGCCCCATGCTATCAGATGAAAACAATAAACAATAAGAGTTAATATTTAACTGATTGCAGAACATGAGTCAAGGATTTTCTATGCACTCTTTCAACACATTTAATCCACATGTCAATCATATGTGAGTTGTGTACTGATGTGCAGAGAATGTCATTGACATAACAAGAAAATATTAGGTGCAGCACTCAAGTCCAGGTTGACTGACTATTAGCAAAAGCACTTAATCACTTTGTCACTGGATAGTATCAGTGTATTGACAACTCATTTTCTCAAAACACAGGTTGTAACTAAATATTTGCAGGCATCTGATTTGGAGGACTACTCAAACATGGGGTTCAAAAATATTGCAGAATACACACAACACACACACATATGTTCACTTTTGATATGATATTTACTATAATGCAAATAACTAGATAACCAGAACAAACCTCACCAATTCCAAGTATATTTTACATTATTTGTTAAGGTTATGTATATTGTTATCAAGTACCATGTTTTGTCTCTTTATGAGAAGAGACAAATTCATGCAAGCATCAGCACTGAACTGTCCAATATGCCAAGCAGGAGTCAAAGGTGGCTATTTAAGTTAACCAAGTTAAATAAAAGTAAACTTCCAGTCCCTCAGATACACTGGCTCATTTCTATTATTCAGGGTTACATGTGGCAGGTGGCTACCTGAGGAACTGTACAGATGTAGTATATTTCTATCATCACAGGAAGTTCTATTGTGCAGCACTCTATTGAGGTATATAACATATTTAAATGATAATGTACTTGTTTTCTAGTTCCAAATGATGAATACATGTGCTTTAACATCATATCTAGGATCCTGAAGTTCAGAAATCCAAAACTACAGGAACCTATGACAGCAAAGCAAAAGAAGACAAGGGGCACAAACAAATGAGAACATCAAGAAATTTATGAAATAAGCAGACTGCAAGGGAGCATGTTGATGGGAGATAAAGGCAAGAAAAATGCTGTTTGGGTAGGATAGACATGGAAGGAGCCCTTGAGGAAGCAAGAGAACATTCATAAAATGGAATTCCTGAGACTCTAGGTGTCTAGTCTGCAAGTGTGATGGAGGTTGGTGACAGAAAGTGGACTCTCATAGCAAGGAGGTTAATTGGAGTTTTGCTTATGAATAGCACCAGTCATCAATCTTGACACCTCTTTCATTATCTTGTACACTAATGGGCAAGCTTGATATAGTATTCTTATTCTTTCTAAAGTAATAAATTTATGTCTAGGACAAATTTTGGGTGAATAGCATTTACAAAATGACATATTGTTGTTCTGATTTTGACATTTGAAGACTTATAGTTTAATAGCCCCTGGACTCACATTTCTTGCTATATCTTCATATAGACTGTAGAAGGAGCTATAAGAAAGAATTTCTAACCCAAGCAAAGCCTTGGCAGGAGAGAAATTTATTTACAAAATAGTCTAGGAAGTCTTTTAACAGCTCCCCAATCTTTCTTCCTGAAATATGAGTGGAAAATTTAGCATCATAAATTACACAAGAAATATCAAAACATAAAAGACCAAGATTAATCTACAGAAAAGCTGATCTGTAAGGAAAGGGAAAAAAAATTTTGAAAAATTTTAAATACTAGGCTCAGAGAAGTTGAAAATACAACCAAATATTAATTTGCCTGGAAAGAAAAATAGAATGTAAAAAAGAGTTTCAAAAGATTAAAAATATAATTTATGGCCCTCCATGGTGGCGCAGCAGGTTAAAGCGCAGCACTGAGAAGCTAAAGCCACTTCTGCATGAGTTCGATCCTGCCTGCTGGAGAGGTGACCACATGGTGGGGCAGACCTCTCCTGACCCACCCGCTGCTCCCCTCAGCAGTGTATTTCCTTGATCTGCCTGTTCTGCTCCCCACTCTGTCTCTGGTGAATCCTCTCATCCTCTGCATCTCTGGCCTGTACCCCAGTTCTGTACGAATAAATAAATCTTTAAAAAATATATAATTTATGAAAGTAATAATTGATTGAACAATATAGTTAATGATATTTCCTAAAATATAACGCAAGTAGAAAGAAAAGTATAATTGAGCCAAGGAGAGGCTTAAAGATACTTTAAAATGTCCAATAGCCAACGATAGGTGTTTTCAGTAGAAAAATGAAAGAGGAAGGGAGGAGACAGTTAAAAACAGACTGCTGGATGCTGGAGACATATGTCATTCAATTTAGAAAACAAATTACAGCTTATTATAGTCCCTATGAAAATCAGGGGAAAAAATGAATAAAAAATTAGCATAAAACAAGTTATTTACAAAGGAAATTTACAAAGTTAAATGCATCAATCCCCTTAATAACAATGAGCACTAGAAGACAATGGATCAATGTCTTTAAAGTTCTAAGAAAAATGATTTTTTAATCTAAATTGTCACCTCTAGCACAATTTCATTTCAAGCACAAGAGAAGTTATAGTACTCTGTAAGTTTACCTCCCATGAATCCTTTTTCAGGTAGTAACAGCGTAAAGTACTACAAATGAAGGTGAACATAAAGTAAATGAAGGCAGAGAGCAAACAAGAGATTCCTACAAGAGTCAGAGCAGTTGTATAGGTTGTAGATTAGCAGCAGCCTGGAGAGTCACCAGGGAAGAGTAGGGAGAAGGCAGGTAAAGGAATTCTGAAAGTTTGTTTCCAGAAGGAAACTATGGTGTTCTAAGTGGGTTAGATAGTACAACTGAAAGTTATGAATAATTTGAAGAGCTATTTTAAAGACAGCGAAATTGATTGAAGAAAACATATTTTAAAAGTATATTGTAAAAAAAAAACATTGTATTTTGAAGCTAAGTTAAAGATGTAGCATAACATGTGCAAAGTGCATTTAATTATAGAATGGTATAACATAGAATGATTATGAAGTTATAATTTTGTGTTAAAGAATGATTCTGAAATACTTGTTCATTGCTTGTTACACTTAAAGTTCTTGCCACTTATATATTCTTTCATGCTATCCAAATTGTAGAGGAGTAATTCTGCTAAAAATGACATGTTCTTATTAATAATAAAAATATACAGCAGATCAACTGATAGTTTTGCTTCATAAATTCATAAATTCTTGTGGGTGCTTTTTTTTTTTTTTTTTTGGACCAAGGAAACTACCACTACTACTCTTGGTCTAATCTGTGGGTGTATTTCACTGGTAATGGTTTCAAGCAAGGAATTATGTGTGAGGTCTGGTTCACTTTAATCAATGCTGCAACAACCAAACCATATCCTTCCAGCCAGTTGCTGTTTTTATATGATGGTTGTCTTGCCCTTTCTAGGTGATGATGCAAGGGAGGCAGTTAAACATGGCTTGGATGGGATCTTGGTGTCAAATCATGGGGCTCGACAACTTGATGGGGTGCCAGCCACAGTGAGTTTCAGCAAATGCTGGAATTTCTCTTTGGAGTTCCCATTTCTTAGTGTTTTTGACTCTCTATGTCTGTCTTTGCTGAGTATATATTTTTGTGTGAACACTGAAGGTGAAATATGTGTAAAAATATAAGGACTTGGATTTTAAGATTACATATAACTATCTAAATTAGATCTTTCAGTAACCCATTACATTTAAGTTTATTTTTTAATTAAATTCATTTATTTATATATCTATTTACATTGTTGTGCATTTTAAAACAATCTTTACTTTCCCTCCTCCCCCAATCACCACATTCCCCTTGTTCCTCTCTCCCTCCATCTGATCCCTCCCCCTCCTCTGCAGGATGTCTCTGGTTTATAATTGCTTGTTTGTTTTTGTTTTGCTTTATTGTGTTTGGTATTGTTATTATTTCTCCCCTCTGTCTTATTTGGTTCCTCTGTATTCCTCCTATAAATTAAACCAATTTATTATTTTTCTTTTTCCTTTTGACTTACTTCATTGAGCATGATCCCGTCTAGCTTCATCCATGTTGCTGCGAATGGCATGAGCTTACCTTTTTATTGCTGAGTAGTATTCCACCATGTATAGGAACCACATCTTCTTGATCCAATCATCGATTTTTGTAGCCCATTGCATATATTTGTTTTATAAAAGTCCCTGCTAGAAAATAAATTATTTGTGGGCCAGAATTATATAGGCAAACTAATAGATAACATCATATAGAGTTTGAAAAAATAAGATTATTCCATGTAAGTCCAAAGAAGAGCTAACAGACGATTATAATAATAATGCTAGGTTTAAGTGACATTTGAGATCATTGGTACAATTATGAGATGTTGAGATGAGGGAAAAGACTGGACCTTTTCATTGAGGTAGGGTTTGAAAAGTTGCAGATGGTGAATGAATGGGTGGGGGAGAGAGATAGAAATCCTATGGTCCAGATGAAGAGAATCAGGTGAGGGGACTAGATCACCCCAGTTGAATCATGAATTAACTACCATATTTGCACATTGAAATCACCTGAGGAAATTTAAAGACTCCTAATGTCCAGATGCCCCCTATCAATTATCAGAAACTCTGGGCTTGAGGGTAGGAGGGTACTAGAGGAACTACAATAGTATTTTTTAAAAGCTACGCAAAAAATCCCAACCTGCATTTATGGTTTTCTATTTGCTGTAAGCACAGTTCTAGCAAGTCAGAATCTGGTATCTGGAAACAAAAGTAAACAAAACAGCTCAGGCAGGTGTCAGACAGAGTAAAAATTAAAAAAGAACAGTTAGCTCCAGGAAGGCCCAGAGTGAAGGAAACCCATAGAAGCATGGGGGCAGATTTTAGATCATGGTTAAAAGTACTGGAGTCATATCGCAGGGTGGATTTCATGGGATTTGGGTTCCAGAATGGCTACCACAAGCTGTAGGTGGAGTGGGTTGGTTGTTAGAAAAGTTCTCTTATACACTGTCCACTTTTTTCCTATGTGGGACCCTGTTTTTAGAGGTGTGAGGAGAAATGTGCAATGGAAAAGAGTAATATATATTTGGGGTATTCCAAGCAATTTATTTTGTTTGCAGTGTCTGGTAAAAGTAGGTGAGTCCTTGGAAACAGGCTTTCCTGGAATGATATGGGAACAGGCTCTTAACATACCATGAGTCATTGGAGATGGAATAGTAGAGACTTAATTTAGCAGCAATGATTCTTATAAATTGGACTTTGTCATGACAAGGAGACAGGAACTTAGGTGGCCTGGATAATACCTGAGGAAAGAAAGAGGGTCCTCAACTACCACAGGGTAGAGGGAATTGATTTCATTTGCTAATCTGATTTATCACTGGATAAGTTAGAATCATGTTTATTACAGTGTATAAGAGAACTTTCTATCAACCAACCCACTCCACCTACAGCTTCTGGTATCCATTCTGGAACAAAAATTCCATGACATACACTCTATGATATGTATATATGTATATATTATAAGTCTATTTTATATGAATATATATATGTATGTATGTGTAAATGTGTATACCACAAAATAGTATTGTTGGGCTTTCCAGAACACCATCTCTGAAGTGACTCATCATTTACTTTTCTCCCTTTTATCAACACTCTTCAATTATAGTTATTATATGGATGGCTTTAATTGAATGTCTAATTAAATTTATTCAAACAATTGAAAGTAGAGTACAAGAAATATTAAGTCAAATTGTAGCAGGATATTGTTTTGTTGAAACAGCAGGTTGATTTAACTAAACCATAGACAAGATGTGTAGGTTTTAAGGCAGAATGAATGGTTACTGGGGACTACTGGGTATACATACTTCAGGTTATAGCTTTTCCTAAAACACTAATGGTAGGAACAAGTCAAACAACTTTTCTTTGCTTAGATTTATGCAGTACAGAATTTAAATCATAAAACTGGAAGTTTTCAACTCTTTCCTATTCAGTTTTACTTATAGAGACGCATCTTTTTAGTGGATATTAACTGTTGCTTGCAGGTAAATAAAGGTGGAGAATGAAGCCCTCTTCTGGGCAGAAAGGAGAAGTTGGTTATAGCTCAAAACTCCTTTAGAGATTTATGTCTCTCTTGTGTATGAAGACATAGACTTAGTGTGTGGGCCAAATTAAGTTTGTTTTCTAAAAATAAAATCTAAATCTACTGAAATCAAATCTAACCAGAGTTTAAGGGAAAAATATCTAAATGGTGTGGTTTATTTCCCTCTGGCTGAGGGGATATGGAAAGTTATCTAAAAGGGCTTTTTGAGTTGTGGTCTTGGAGCCTGTTTTTTATTTTTTTCCTCTAAGACTCTCCCTTCTCTGTGCAAAAGAGGAGATGCTTACTGGAGTTTTTCTTCATACTTTAGAGCAAATTTAAGACCTATGATGATGAGAGAAATGTTAGAAAAGATTCCGTTTATGAACATGTTTTTCCCTTAGTGTGTGGGTTTTGAGGTGAGTGGTAAAAGGCTTGAAGGCGATGGTGATATAAAGCTTTTCAGTAGGTGTACAGAGTAACTGCCATCCTGCAGATGATGTGACATCATAAGTCAAAGAGGTAGAGTGACGTCATCGGAATAGTACTGAACTGGAGTCTAGCGTCTTGGGTTCTGTTCCTGGTCCAGTCTTGTCTAAGAAGTAGAGCTAAGTGGTCAGTCATTGAAACTGTCAAGCAGAGTCTCTCCACAGTGTTGTGTTGGTTGTAAAAAGAAGGCAGTTGAACTATAGATTGTCTGCATTTCTGTTATCTGTAGGGCTCCCAGCACCTAACAGTGCAAGTCCTTGACAATTTAACTTCAGTTCATCTTAATATCATACAATTGAGGTCCACTGCCAGGTCTCTACTCTCCCCAAATGGAGTAAAAACTATGTTCTTCTAGGTAATAATGGGACAAGAGGGTTCTTGAAATAAAGAACAATATGACAAACAAATTAATTCCCCAAATCTGTAGTACAGAAGCATCTCATATCAGTATCTAAAAAAGGGATTTCAGGGAGTCTTTTTTTTTTTTTGCCACTTTTTTTTTTTAAGCTAACTGGGCCCAAACTATCTTTAGCTTAAAGACAGGACATTCATTTCTAGTGAAAATTCTCAATTGTAAAGCATTTCCATACACTCAGTATTGTGTTCTTAAGTCAAGTGTTTCCTGATTTCGAGTTCTAGGGTACATTTTGTAAGATCTGAGAGGTTTCATTTTTTCCTTTAAAAAGGGATTCATCCTAGTCTGCCTTTGAAAAACACTTGATGTGTAACAACTAGCTTTTGTTGTATAACAAACCACTTGAAACTTACTGCTGAAATTCAGTAGCTAATTATGCTCATTTCAAATATTTCTGGGTTCTCAAAGTGGGCTGAGAAAGTCATTTTTCTTTGGTCTTTCTCATATACTAGGGTGGTCACTTGGGTCTGGTAGTATAGGCTGTTGTAATAGGATTTTGCGATGCCTGTACACTGCTCCACACCTATCACAAAGGGAGGTCAGGGCATGAGGAAGGTTTCCCAAAGAGGAAGTGCAACCATGCAAGACCTGTTGAGATGGGTGCTCACAGTCAGCTCATTGTCACTTCTCGCACATTCTGTCGTCAAAGCAAGTCACAATGCTAGTACACACTCAAGGGGGTAGGGAAGTAGACTATTCCAGTCTTGTGTCTCCTACATGTTGGGAGTATCTGAACTGTCATAATTCAAAGAAATGAAGATATAACAATAGAGATAACTGCAACCATTTTTGTAATTTCAAGCAAACAAACAAACCTGTACAGACCAGTGATTTTCTTAGTGTGCTTAGTGGAACATGTCCACCTTCCATCTATTATGTTCAATAGATTTGGTTTGAAAGCTTTAAAGACTTTCATGCCCCAGATGCCAGAAATAAAGAGTCTAACAATGAATGCTAGAGGATGGTAGAAAGGTGAGAATTCTCCATAAGTGATCAATTTTGGACAGAGAATGTTGTATGGGATGGGAAAGAAGCAGGGTTAAGCAAGAAGAGTCTTTTGTGAATCTCATACCTGCAGGATTCTTTTTATGTCTATGTAGGATTCTTTTGATCCCTGTACTATCTGACATAATGACTTGAACACATCACATCTTCAATAAAGTGATAAATCAACGAATGAGTGAGCTATAGTAAATTAGAATTCTGCCATATTTTTCTTTAATATAGCTCCACTGGAGTTAAACTCACAATTAGTTATCTACAGAACCACCAAAGCAAGGAAAGCTGAAATGAATGGTCTCTTAGATGTGTAGCTAGCAGAAAGGAAGGAAACTTAGCCGTCATAAAATAGTGGATTTGTCTACTGTATTTATTTATGAAATGTGCTCTGTTTAGAATTATTCTGGGTAACATATACCCAGTAAAACTGCAGCTACAGAAAGAAAAAGAAAAGGGTAAATTAAATGTTCAGCAGTGAATAGAACATGCTTATCCACAGGCAAATGAAACACCAGTCTGGGTTCTGTCTTATACCCAGGATTCATATTTTAAGTATCCTTATTAGTTTACTTTTATGCCATGTTGGGCATTGGAAATAATCTAAACAGACTTGATTTGCGTGACTTTGAAAATGTGTATTGAACCCAAGCTAGCTAATATTTTTCTTTGGTTCTGATTTCAAATGGGGAAATATGCTTAATTATACCTTGCATCATCGCTTGGAAATTGTAGCATTTATATGTTGATGTAACTTGCCTGTTTGTAAAAGGAGGACTATGTATAGGTAAAGGGACATATGTAAGTAGATCCAAAGCATGTTTGGCAAGGCAGAGAAGCCAAAAGGAGAAGGGGAAAATCACATTACCTGCCAAACATTTAGGGGTTGCATGCCAAATGTTGCCTTCACTTCCTTCAAATCTGTAGCTGGGTTTGGCCTTCAGCTTTTAATATAAAACCCTCTTTAAGATTAGCCTCTAAAATTTTAGGAAATAAGTAGAAAAGGCTTTAAGCATTTGTAGTACAATAACTTCTAGGAAAACTGCATTCAAATGGATGGTAGCTTCTTCAAGACACATTTTAAATAGGGATTGGATTTAATTTTACATCTATATTTTGGGGATGAATGTGGGCAACTTCTATAGATTTTGAAATACAAGTAATGGGGGATTGTTTCCATTTTCAAGTTTAAAGACATCAAAAGCAGCCCATTGTTGCTATTATTAGCTATTAACGATTCTGGCTATTAGCCAGAGGTGTTAGTTATTGACATGCATACATTCTAAAACTCAGTGATATGAATCAACATTCATTTATTTGCATTGAAGATTTATGTCATCTGGAGGTCAGCTGATCTATACTTGGCACTAGTTAGGTGGTTATGCCTAAGTTTAAGGTCCAGTGAGTTTTGATTGGGCCACCTCCACTTCTTTAATATTCTGGGATCCCATAGGGAAGGGAAACATTGCCCAGCAGATGATCCTCCCTGGCAAAGGCACAGGTGCAAGGTAAAGTTGAAATACGAGGTTCATTAAGGCCTACACCTTGAAATGGCATTCTGCTACCTCTGCTTATATATTATTGTCTAGCGTAGGTTGAAAGCCCAAGGCCAATGTCAAGAAATAGCTAAGTACACCTTGCTTCTTTGAGCAGGAAACACTATAAAGTTTCCTTTAGAGGTGGACTAAAGTAATGTGAAGAATCAGGAATAATATTGCAATTCACCAGAGCAACTTCTATTGGGGTTCTTATATTCTCTAGTGCTAGTATAAACCCATTATCAATTGTCAATCAAGACAAAGGTCTTCATGGCATATGTGGTCATTTCCTTTAAGAGCAAGAAAGATATTTTCATGGAGAGATCTTTAATATACGTCTGGATGCAAAGTATGTTCACCAACAAAATTAGAAGTTTTCATCACCAACTATGTTTGCATTTTTGTGAGACATTGTGTCCACTATCAACTGGGTACACATTTTGACAATTGATTTTCCATGAATATCATTCAGAATAATTTACATGAGTAAGCTACTTCATTTATTTGTATGTGTTTTATGCAAAATAGTTATGAGGTTATGTATTTTAAAATGGTGTTTACACCTTTAAAAATCATTGTCAGTAAGTTTAAATATCAGAACAAAAAAAATCTAACTTTGAAAGAAAAATAAGCTACTCAATTCCCATTTTAGTTTATTTTTAATTATTAATATTTGCACCCTTTCTTTACTTCTGATTCCAAACCTACCTAGTTGTTTTTGTTTTTGTTTTTGTTTTTCACAGAGTCCTACTCAGTAGTCACTGGTCTGTGGAAGTACAATTGTGAAGCAATTCAGCACACGAATAACACATTTTTGACCTTTTCTCTTCACAGATTGATGCTTTGCCAGAAATTGTGGCAGCTGTGGAAGGGAAGGTGGAAGTCTTCCTGGATGGGGGTGTACGGCGAGGCACTGATGTTCTGAAAGCTCTGGCGCTGGGAGCTAAGGCTGTGTTTGTGGGGAGACCAGTCATTTGGGGCCTGGCTTCTGAGGTAATTTGATAAAATATATATGTGTATACATACACATACACACATAACTATAACAGGATGATTGGACACTGAAATAAAAATATGAAACAGATCAAATTGACTTACCCAAAAGAGCTGTATCTTCTACTTGCTTAGGGAGAGAAAGGTGTTCAAGATGTGCTTGAGATACTAAAGGAAGAATTCCGGTTGGCCATGGCTCTGAGTGGTAAGACTTGTCATTATCATTTACAACTTTCTTTTTTTCTACTGATCTTTGAATCATGCTCCTTGGTGATAAGCGAATTCGAGGGGGAGGAATGTGGATCATTTGAGGTGAAGTTAGTATTGAATTTGGCTCCATATTTCTAGTAGTGCAGAACGTCTGAATGAAGAACTCTCTAGTGTGCGTGGTCTGTAGCAGTCACAGCCTCCACCTGCGTCAGTTCCTTAAGCACATGTTGATAGGAGTGGTTAAGCGGAAAATCTACATCATCTTTGTCCTTGTCTCACATATCATTAACAAATCTAACAGACAATCGGTGCTTCTATTTAACTCCCAAGTTGAATCCAAACTCTACCTGCCCAGAACTTAACTGCTGTCTTTTTTTTTTTTTTAATTTATTTATTTATACATACAGAACTGGGATACAGGCCAGAGGTGTGGTGGGTGAGAGGACTTATCAGAGACAGAGTTGGGAGCAGAATAGGCAGATTGACAAGGTACACTGCTGAGGGGAGCAGTGGCAAGGCATGAGAGGTCTCCTGCCCCTTGTGGGTCAGCTTCCTGGCTGGGGATGGATCTCATGCTGAAGCAGCTGCAGCTGAATTCATAGTGTTGTGCTTTAACCTATTGCACCACCAGGGGAGGGCCCTAAACTGCTATATTTTCCCATTAAGCCTGCTCATCTATAGATCCTCTTATCTCAGTTCATGTTAATAACCTTTCTGCAGTTGCTCAGATCAATGATTTGACTCACTGATGTCTTTTTTCCCATACCCCTTACATCCACTGGGGCTGTCTCATCTCCTCTCTTGAGTATAGTCTTCTGCCTGACCGTCATAGTCTATCTCCCCTCCTGTCTATTCTGTTTACAGCAGTCAGGATGATTTTTTTAGATGTTAAACCAGATCATGTCACTCTTCCAAAAGAACCCTCTGGTGGCTCTTGGTTTGCTCAAAGTGCCAGAGTCCTTCAGCTGTCTACAAGGCATCATGTGGTTTGATACCTGTCATCTCCCTGGCCTCAACCCCTGCTTCTATCATCCTTCCTTATTCTGCCCAGCAACAGTTGCCTCCTTGCTGCTCCTTGACTATGTCAGACATGTTTCAGCATTAGAGCTTTTGCAGTGGCTCTTCCTTCTGCTTGAAATCTCCCCCCGTTTATCTACATGACCAATTGCCTTACATTCTTCAATTCTTCACTTATGTCGTACATTCTCAAAGAGCCTCTTCTGACCATCTTGATACAAATGGCAACTCACTCTTCACCCAACCACCCAACTTCCAGTTTTCTTTTTTTGCCATTGTTTAACTTTTTTTTTCCCATAGCCCCTATCACTTTCCATAGATAACCTATTATATCATTTACCTTTTAATATCACCTGCATTACTTTTTTAATCTTTTTTTTTCCTCTAGAGTGTAAGAAGCACAAGGCAGGTTTTGTCTGTTGTTTTCACTGCAAGTATTCCCAGTGCATGACAAACAATAAAAAATTGTGGCATGAATGAATGAATAAAAAAAAAAGCACAATTATTGCTAGTGACTTTTAAATTTGACTTAGAATGGGCCTCTAGATGTGAAGAATGACCACAAGTTAATTATCAACTCCCCCCACTTTTGAAGATGACAAGGGTTTCCTTTTCTGTGCTCCAAATCTCACCCACGTTGTCCCATAGAAAGAATTCCTGAGATCACTGGCTGCTGTGCTGAGTCTGGTGGACACACCATCACAGAGAAAAACGCCACTCTGTGAATCCTCGCTATGCATTTTAATTTACTACAGACATATCCTAAAAGAGAACTTTCAGCCATTGACTCTATTAAATGTGGCAGAAAGAATATACTCTTTGTGTTAATAAAAATATGTGCCAGTCATTTTGTGTTAAGGACTGTTTAGGTAATAAAAATGGTCTCATGCCACATAAGATTTGGCAAGCCTACCTTGAATCATAAACCTTACATTTGTCAAGTTTTACATTCCTTGGGAAAACGATTACCTGCCTGATTATTATTGCATTCATTTCATATTAAATGTATGCATTATTTTTTCAGGGTGCCAGAATGTGAAAGTCATCGACAAGACATTGGTGAGGAAAAATCCTTTGGCCGTTTCCAAGATCTGACAGTGCACAATATTTTCCCATCTGTATTATTTTTTTCAGCATGTTTTACTTGACAAAGAGACACTGTGCAGAGGGTGACCACAGTCTGTAATTCCCCACTTTGATACAAAGGGTGTCGTTCTTCTCCAACAAAATAGCAATCCCTTTTAGTTCATTGCTTTTGACTTTTCAATGGGTGTCCTAGGAACCTTTTAGAAAGAAATGGACTTGCATCCTGAAAATATATTAACTGTTAAAAAGAAAACATTGAAAATGTGTTTAGACAACGTCATCCCCTGGCAGGCTAAAGTGCTGAAAAACAAAAGATATTCTTTGGTAAAATTGGAGGTAGCTAATGCTGAGGTAAGAAGATAGTGATCTCATTTTATTAACCTGCATTGTGTTTAAACATCCTTCAAGCAGTGTTCTTAATTTGTCAGCTCTCCTTCATAAAATTGGACATGACTGGTGAAACAGGGGATGTGGATTCACAACACTGTGAAGGTAGACGATGAATTTGGGATAATTTGATGGTAATTTTGATTTTTCTAGATACATTTTAGCGTCCTGAGCTAGGCTGCATCTTTGAATGTTCGTACCTTTAGTGTTGGAATATATCTGAATACTCTATGATTATATATTGCTTCTTAATCAGAAAGAAATAAAACCTTTTTGAAAATAATATGGTTCATTTGTGGCATCATGAATTACAACTATTTTAGTTTCTAACTATCTTCCTAGTTCTCTTATGTATACCCCATTATCTTATACCACCCAATTATATTTTCTTCTGCTTCTTTCCCATTTATAGTCATATGCAGGACTAACTACCTAATTTGTGAGGCCCATACCAAATGAAAATATGGGCCCATTTTTAAAAAAGCTCTTTTTTAAAAGATGTAAATGCTCTTTTCCTTTCCAGTACAGTTTTTCTTTTAACCTGTAAAGGTGCCTATTGTTTGCTACATCTGGGGTCATGTGCATGCCCACAAGGCCAGTGTATGCCCTCAGAGTGCTCTGAGACCACCCCTGATGCTTCTGTGCCCTTGTCCAGGATGCTGCCCGGGGTAACGGGTGGCACCCTCATTGGTCAGGTGAGTGAGTCAGTGGTCAAGACTGTTAGGGCAAGGGGAGGCAAGATGGCAGAATATGGGACAATGTGACTCTAGGTTTTAAGCCCCCAGTACACTTTGCTTTGCTCACTGTGTTTACTTACAAAACACTAACTTAAAGATAAAATTATGAGCAATTACAAGCTGACAATAACAAAGTACAAATCCAAGTGTGAGAGCCCCTTTTGGGTGCAGCTGTGCTGGCTGCACCCCTCAACACCCTGGTCACATGACTTTTAGATGTATTCCCAAGCAGGCAATTGACAGAGTAGAGTATGGTAGTCAACACAATTTAAAAATTGGTTTTTCACCATTCCGGTGGTTGTTCAACCACTGTAAAGAATTGAATGAAATAGCTGAGAGAATTACTTAAAATATGGTTGCTAAATGATGTTTCATTGTTTTAGTATACTCAGATCTCTTTTCTTTTTCTCTTTTCCCTCTCTTCCACACTCCTCCCTTCTATCTTGCTCCTCTTCTCTTTTTCTTCTTTTAAGTACTAGGGTATTCCTAAATACTATGATGGGGATAAAGAAATTATTTTTGAAATTTTATTTAGAACTGATAAAATATCATGTAATCTGAGAAAACACAGTTAAGTTACCCCTTAGATTTTTTCTCTAAATACAAAGAGGAAATCTTACTGTCATATCACATAACTCATACACTTTTCAATTAATATTGATCAATTATTAGATATATTATCGTTATGTCTTTCTTCACCTCCCACAAATCCAGAAAAACTTTTGTGGTATTTCTGCATCATGGTATATGGTTGGATGGTGGCTTGCTAAAATCTTGGTAACTTCACCCAACAAAAGGAGATCCATGTTTTAAGTAAAATTCTTGCAAGTAATGAGGGAATGGGGATTGGTGGTCTTAGCTAATGCATTTCTGTGTGCTTTAATGACTTTCAGAGCCATGCTACCTCCTTGAATATAGATTTCCATTTTCAGAGTAGAAGTATGACTGAAAGCTTAATGATGTTAGTTTTATAGTCAGAAAGGTATAAAATTGCTTTTATTCTTTTTTGAATATGTTTCTGAGACAATATTAAACAAAATTAAAATAAATGTTAATATTTAAATTTTAACTATTAAAACAAAAGCTACTTGATGACTAAGACAAGAATAAGATATATTGATGGGACATCCATTTGTGGGGATTTTAAATTACTTGAAAAAGCTAGAACTACTTTTGAGGAAGTCAGTTCACTTTTCTGTTCCTGCACTTATTGGAATATGTCAAGAGAAAGACTAATAGAGACTGGGTCGTTTAACATAGAGTGAGTCTGCCTTCCTGTCTGTTTCTATTACGGGTTGTGCTCTCAAGTAGTGATTTTCAAACTATAGTGTACATCATACTTACTTGAAGGACTTCTTAACACAGCTTGCTGGGCCTCGCTCTCATAGATAACTGATTCAGGTGGGTGGTGCCTGAATCAAGCAAAAAGCTGCCCTTCAAGCATAGTCCCAGGTGAGGTTGATACTGTACATCTGGGCATCCCTTTTGTGAACCAAAGGGTGAGTCTAGAGCAAAGGGTGTCAAGTGGGATTTGCCATACAGATTTACATGGGACATGCCCCATATGAAAATGTCAATTTCTCTTGGGTCAACGGAGTTTTTTTCTTTTGAATTTAGTTCCTATTGAGGTATAAAATGATTGGAAGGAGATATGTAAAATTTTAAAAACTAAGTACTTAAGTGAATGCATTTTTCATATCTACCCATGTGACCACTGTCACCCAGTCCAAGATACAGGATGTTTCCATCATCCCCAGAGTTCTTCCTCTACAAGAAATGAATGTATGCCAATTCCTTCACCACTGATTAATTCTAGCCAAGCCTGAACTTTGTATAAGTAGAACCATATAGTATACAATTTTGTATTTGGTTTCTTTTGCATAGCTTATGTGAAGTCCATTTATATTGTTGGCTTTATCTGTAGTTAGCTCTGTTTTTTTGCTCTGTAGTAACCCCCTGACAATACACCACAGTTTATCCATTCTTTTATGGTCAAAGGTTCATTCAGGTTTTGTTTTCCATTTTTCTGTTGGAAGCTAATTCTGAATCTTATGAAAATACATGTTCAGTGTTATTTTCCGATTTTTCTAAAAAGCTAACCATCTCGATTATTATATAAAGGTTTTAAGTATCGACAGATATTTAAATTGGAGCACATGGAATAGAACATGTTAAACACAATTGAGGTCCATGTCTGGCCCATAAGTCACAAGTTCTCAATGCCTATAACATCTTGTCCTCATAGATGATTCCCTCATGGCTAAAATCACTCTTCTGCATCTAGATAGAATCATGTCTGAGGCAAGCAACAGTGATGGGCGTATGCCAACAAATATTGCCAGAATCTTTTTGTTTAAGATTGCTTATTTTCTGTTACCTGGAAGAAGGTGGATACGAAGTAAATTTCTGTCTGTCTTCCAGACTTAGGGAGTCCAGGTTTCTGGGCCAATAGGAATGAATCAAATGGCACTGATGCTTCTTAGCGTGCAGTTTGCAAACTGTATGTGTGTCACTGCTGTGCTATTATTCATTTACTTGTTTATCTTGCCAAAACATTGGTGTTTGTGAAACAGCTTTAGAGAGCTGTGGTGGATTAGTGTAGCATGAAAGGAAGTTGTGGCTTGTTTTCAAACAGGGAGAAAAGACCTCTCATTGTAAAATTTGTAATTTATTTACTGTCTGATGGATTATATTGCTTGTCAGTTGCATAGCAACAAAATAAAGTTTGCTTATTTAGGAAAATCTGGAGTTTTTTTTTTTTTTTATAAAGATAGAAGATGCTTTTTAAACTTATATTTGTTTCAACATGCATTCTGTCACATGCCACATGCTCATTAGAGAATGACATCAGGATAGGTTTATTTTAGGTAATATAAATGTTAACTCAAAAGATAGACAGTTAACGTTTATGTGATGGGAAATCACATCTATTTTAAAAGACCCAATTTCCTGTCCTTATCCAAATCTAACTTGAGCAATAGATATCTTTTTTTTTTTCTTTCCTGATGCAATTGCTGAAAGTTTGCTGGAGGAAAAAAATAACTTATTTTTATTCAGTTATCTGTTTCTCTAATGATATTTTTGAACATTGTTTTAGATAATGAGCATAAGGTGAACTAAAAACTCTCCAGGACATTCAAAACCACTGATCTGTTATTTTGGAAGATGCTAAAGCAAAGGCTGGAATTCAGCTGAGCAATAAATTTGATTTTTGTTTGATCATTTGATAGCTTAACTGGGGAAAATAACTGGCTTGGTTTCCTACCTGTGTCCTCTGGTTCCATCATCTATCTTTAAAGCTCTTTTTTTTTTTTTTTTCCATTGCAGTCAGACTCCTGATGTCTATTTCATACAATGGAATCATCATCTTATTGATAGAGTCATTAATGGTAATATGCTTCATATTGTGAATAGAGCTTCCTTTCTCATCTAAATGAAAGTCAAGGTCAATCTTCCCCAAAGCACTGAAGATACTGAATATCTGAGTGGCTAACCATGTGGACGTTATTTAATTTTAGGATCCTCGGACTCTCAGCTGTGAATTGAGGATATAGCATGGTGGAGTGTGTGAGTATGTATAGTGAATTCTAAACTGACATCTATGTCTTAATAATAACTAGTATCCAGAGAAGTCATAGAAGTAATTCTAATAGATGTTTTGACTTTATTGTATTCTTGAAAAAATAACTTTTCTGTAAAACCAGTTAAGGATTTCATGCAATTCAACAAAGTAAAAATCATATATTTTATTACCTAGTAACAATGGTTATTTACGTTAGGTGTATACTACTTCAGACATTACTATATACATATAATAAATAGCTGCCAGATAAAGAGATAGAATGACTTTATTAAAATAAGACTGATCAGGGCCCTCCCTGGTAGCTCAGTGGGTACATACAGCACTAAGAAGCTAAAGCCACTTAAGCACAAGTTCAATTCCCTGCCCCGGAGGTGACCCACATGGCCCCACTGCTGCTCCCCTCAGCAGTGTACTTCGTCAATCTGCCTGTTCTGCTCCCCACTCTGTCTCTGGTGAATCCTCTCATTGCCCCTGCACCTCTGGCCTGTACTCCAGTTCTGTATGCATAAACAAATGAATCTTTTAAAAAAATAAGACTGTTCAGTCAACATTACATTTAAGTTAAATTTCAATTTATTCTTGCCTAAATTTAGTAGAAGAGAAAGTGAAATTGAAGTAATTCTTAAAATTAAGGCAAATATTTATTTTTAAAAGAAACAAAAGCATTTCCTCACTGTATGTTAAAACTTTAGAAAAACTTAAGATTGACATAACTCTACGTTTTGACTTTAGGCAGTATCAGCTAATGCGTTGCTATTAAAAATGAAGACACTATATCCTTATGCATATTCTTCTTTCTTTTTTCCTCTCTTTCCTTCTCAACTT